CTTCTCTCTCTCTCTCTCTCTCTCTCTCTCTCTCTCTCTCTCTCTCTCTCTCTCTGCGCTGGTAAATCTATTTATTGGCTTTTGTGCGCAAAACAATGCCAGGATAAGTTGTAAAACAGAGACGACTTTGGGAACCTCTTAGGCCAGTATTAATAGTCAGATCTTATATTCAAGACCGTCTTGAATTTATCTAAAGTTGCTGTATGGAATATTTCATTGGCTACGGAGTATCTAAAGCCTGTGTCAGACTACGGATTGATATTAGATTGAAAATTGGCCAATGAGAGCAAAAGTTACTAAACTTGAGATTAGTGAACTCTACTGCGATTGGTCAAATTTCAATCTAATCTCAATCCGTAGTCTGATACGGGCTTAAAGATGATCTTGAGACTGTCTTGAATATACGATCCGACTATAAAAATTTTCTCCGCCAACGCCAATGGCGTCGACCGCTCGAGAATCGATACCAATCGATATACGCGCCGCCGTCGAGTATCGTCGCACTTGGTCGCACTTCGCGTCTCCAGCTTTCTGCGACTCACTTCGCGTCAATTGCTGTCGGCTACCGCACAAGCGTGTTGATACCTTGAACGCGAATAACTGCGCGTGGGGTTCACGCGATTGTGAACGGCCGCGGTGATTTCTTGTTCGCGAGGAGGCGCGAGATCCATTCGGGAACGGAGGCGTACGAGGTTATGGTTTGACGTTCTCTGCGCTCGTTTCGCGCGACGATGGATCTACCGACTCCGGCCAGTCTCAATCACAGCGGGCTCGCGCACACCGCGGACGGCTTTCTGAATCTTCCCCTCGGATCGTCGGCCCTGGACGCCCTGTCGACGAAACGGAGAAGGTAGGCCGTCAACTAGGTCGCTAATCTTAGCTTGGAGGTTAATGCGTCATCTACAATGCGTGCAGTAAGCCTAGGTGTAAGGAAATGAATCAATTTCTCACTTCAGCCCTTACACTTACTCTCGGCGAGTCGAAACGCCATCGGCCAGTGTTATCACATTTTAACAATCATTTTGTGGTTTCTCTCTTACTCCTTGTGCCAGGCTTACGCCTCGAGACGACGCACAACGAATCGCGTTACAAACGGACTTGCTTCTGACCACTGACACTCTCTTTCTCTCCCTTCAAGCTCCTCGCGCACGATAAAACGCAAGAAGTTCGACGATGAGGTGGTGGAGACGACGTTCAACCTGCAACCGCCCACAACGAGCGGCAAGTCGGCGTCCAAGTCGCGGACGATCCCGGTGGCCCCCGTCCCCATGGACGTTCTCCCCACGCAGACGCTACCTGTTCCGATACCAATACCGACCACCCTGGCGCAGTCGGACAGGTGCAATCGCAGGCCCAGCAGGCCGAGCGGCTCGAATCCCGGGCGGAAGAACAAGAAGAGCAAGAACCATTCGCACTCGATCAACGCCACCAAAGACCTCGGTCGGTGGAAACCTGCCGACGACCTGGCGTTGATCACCGGCGTGCAGCAGACGAATGATCTGAGAATGGTACTCGTTCAATTAATCCGCGCCTTCTCCTCGCCGCTAATCTTCTTCCTTCAATATCTGTGAAGGTCCTTCTACACTAAGTTGCAAGCAATCGCTGGCACGTCCATATTGTCGCAGGTCGCAAGAAATTTGCGATTTCAACTTCTACATTGCAGTCGTCAAGTCACAGCCAATCAAAGAAGAGAATGTTGCGACATCCACTAAGGTTGATCGCGGTTCATCCACATCTTCATATGGAACGCTTGCGTCCAAAGAATCGTCATCATCCCAGTCTATATGACTCATTTTATTAATATAAAATCTTCTAACCGATCAAGAAACACAGGAAACTAACGAGCCATCGACCGAGCCAAACAGACACCATGACGGTGAAGCATCATTGGCCGTCGCAAATCGCGGAGACGCAAATTTTGGATTTGGTCAAACCTTGCGACTGGCGTTTGCGACTGCATCACGATCGGTAGCAGCGCTGCTCGCGTTCATGCGATTGGTTACTTGCGACTGATGTAGAACGACCTTTAAGGGGATGTGGCACGCTTCTAATATTCTCGTTGTCTGTTCCAAGGTCCACCGGGGTACAAAATTTTCCTGCCGCTTCACGTTGCAGGAGATACAGCAGAGGTGGTACGCGCTGCTGTACGACAGCGCAGTCTCGCGCGTGGCTGTGCAGGCTATGCGCAATTTGCATCCCGAACTAATAGCCAGTATTCAAGCGAGAACTTTGTACAGCAAGGCGGAGGAGGATCTGTTAGGGACTATTAAATCGGTAGATACTAACGGATTCCAAATGATAAATGCTCCTTGTCTTCTTAGAAAGGCACAAATCCACTGTGGGTTTGTCAAATGACCACATTATTGCGATCTTTCTCGTTAGACCTCTCAACCGACGTTGGAAGTGTTTCAAGAATTGCTCGAAGCGAACGCACATACGTTTTATCCAGCTAGGACCACGAAGGCGTTACACAGCCATTGGCAGCTGATGAAACAGTATCATCTATTACCGGACCAGACGGTGCAAAGCTTGCCGCGAGGCGAGCACGTGCTGAGCTTCTCGGACGCCGAGGATATGATCAACGACACCGAATTGATGGAAGTGAAAGATGAATTAGTGGACGTCGAGCTGGCAACGGTGGACAGAAAGAATAAGAGAGAGATTAAAGTGTTGGAAAACGAGCTTAGCAGGTGGCAGGTGCTCGTCGACAGCGTGACAGGCGTCAATCCCCCAGAATTTGATAATCAAACCTTAGCCATCCTCAGGGGAAGACTCGTCCGGTATCTCATGAGATCTAGAGAGGTAAGAAGCGAGCACCGAGAGTGGTCTCACACGTTACTCGTTCACGTTGTTGCCGTATTTTGAACGATTTGCATCTCTTAATTCTTGTATCTTTGTTCAGATAAGCGTAGGACGCTCCACAAAGGATCACGCTGTCGACGTGGACCTCGGTTTGGAAGGTCCGGCATGGAAAGTCTCGCGTCGACAAGGTACCATCCGTCTAAGGAATAACGGAGACTTCTTTCTGTCTTCCGAGGGAAAGCGGCCGATTTTTGTGGACAGCAGACCAATTTTGGCCGGCAATAAGATGAAGTTGAATAACAATAGTGTAATTGAGGTAACTGTTGCATAAAACTTATTAGGGCAACATAATTCATTGTGCAATGGGTTTTCTCTCGGGGTAACAGTTCGCTCTTTCAACTGAACGTGCATTTTAATGTACACCTTTCACAGATTGCAGGACTGAGGTTCATATTTTTAATAAACCAAGAGCTCATCTCTGTGATACGACAAGAAGCCGTCAAATTGAACTTGAATCCTTGAGAGATGTCGAGAGAGAAAAAACGAGAGACAATATAAAGTATCGTAGTTTGTAGCGATTAGTAAAACGCTTTTCTTACACCATCTACTTTTTACATCTGAGAATAACACATTGGTACATCGCGGTGCGTAGGTCCTTACTCGCGTACTAATACCTTTTATAATTTACTTGTATATTCGATTGTGTGTGTGTGTGTGTGTGAGTATCTTAAAGCAGATATTTTTTACGAGACCAAGTCATTTCTTTCGGAGCTTGCCGACCAAACTACGGATTATGCTCGTTTCGTAGTACATAAAAAAAAAGTAATTTAGTGCATATATATTAGCTTTGAATAGACAATAGATTATTTTTAGCAATGTTCCTACATCCACTCATATACTCAATTAGACTAACTGAGTTAAACTACGAACATGTTGCTTAGCGGCAATAATACACATCGAAGCTACTGTATATACACTTTTAATATAAATTGTAAATTGTCACGCGTACAATCGCCTGTGTAATAAACGGAACTGAATGTGCAGAATTGGATATTTTGTATCACAATGGAGAACGCTCGGGAACGAACTCGTGCCGTCTCAGCAAACGCAGAACGTTACGGCAATGTTGCAATATCGCTGCAATGTTGCTACGACGTTCTGCGTGCGCTAGGAATCACCGGTGCCTTCCCGTATAAATTTAGACACACGTGGAACACGCATACATTTTTCGCGTGTGCATATGCAAAACGTACAAACGCACCGATATGTGCACAAATCATACGGGGAGGCATCGGTGATTCCTAGTGTACACGGCGCGAGGGTCGCGGGACGGTGAAAGGTACGTTTCGCCGAGTACTCGAGAGAAATAAGACCCCGGGGTGATCCCTCGCCGTCCGTGGACACAGCGGACCACGTCCGAGTCATTAGTACGTATGTCAAAATCAGGTTTCAGCGGAAACCCGACGTTCCGTCGTCGCGCCTCATAATGAGAGGTTTTTGCGCCTACGGCGGCGACTCGGTCACCAAGCGAGACGCGAGGCGATTAGCGTCATTTTTTTTTTACGTCGTTACCTGAGCCCAGGGCCTAAATTCCGTACACGATTACCGACGACCATCGATACGTTAACGACGTTTGCGCAGCTTTTTCTACATGATAGAAAAGCTGCGCAAACGTCGTTAACGTATCGATGGTCGTCGGTAATCGTGTACGGAATATAGGCCCAGGTGCGAAACGGGCGCACACGTGTGTGAACGCGCGCGCGCGCGCGCACAGTACGCGCACCAGCGGAGCGAGGTGCGCGCCTTCCGCCGCCAGGGCGCGCGCGCGCATGTTTTCCTCCTTTTTTTCTCACCAGCAGTCGTGTCCAATATGGCGTGCGTGTTGTGAGCGATGTTAACGTGCAGGTAAGTCCCGGAGCGCGAGTTTCGCCCGCGCGACGCCCGCGACTGACTTCGACGGTCAAAAAGGACCGCGCGTCCTCGCCGCCGTCGCCGTCGTCGTCGTCGTGCCGATCGTCTCTGCGATCACGCGCGAGCGGCAGCGCGACTATTCCGTCCTGCCTGGGGGTGTGTGAGTGTGTGCGTGTGTGTGTATGTGTGTGGCGCGTGCGTGCGTACGTGTCGCGTTTGTCAGTCGTAGTACACCCTCAAGGCCCCGCGTGTGGCAAGGTGCGCGTTTCTCTCGACGCCGCAGCGTGCGGACCCGCGCCGCGGATACCTCGCGGCCGCGCGACGAGGTCGGTCGCGGCCGCGGGGCCGAACGTAAACACGGGGGGGCTGCGGTAGGGTTACGCGCGGAGCTGGGGTAGGGTGCCAACAATGGCCACAACCTCGCGAGTATGGTGTCACCTGTTAGCGAACGCGCGCGCGCGCGCTCGCTCACTCGCGGTGCTCGCCCGGGTTTCACGCGCGGTGGGCGATATCAATTAAATATTCCCCGGGAGTCATTTGCATCCCGACGGCACGCGCGGCGCGCGCGCGCGCGCGCGTGGTTTCGCGTGCCGAAGATGCCAGGGAAAGTATCTAGGTCATCACCTGCGTTACGCGTTTTAACCCCGCGCGCGTCGACGGCACCCTGCGACACCGCGCCGCGCCGGCCTCCTCCGCGCGACCGGAGCGACGTGTCCGCGAGCGCGTTCGCGGGCTCTTCCGCCCGATAACGTGACCAAATTGGCCCGATGCGGACTCCGCGGACTGGAGGTCGCCTGGACATCGGGACGCCTCGTTCTCGCGCGTTCGCCGGGGGAGCGATCTGGACTGTGGCTTCGGGAGTTGATCGAAATTTTATCGCACCCTCGCATCCCGAATTCACGCTGTCCCGTTTATTCGCGCCGGGGATAATTGAGGAGCTTGATGGAGGTCGTTTCTTCGCTGTAAAAACTACCGTGTCTCGTGATAAGCCGGAGGCTTTGCAAATCGTATTCAGCAGATCTCGTGTCTGCGAGGTGTGCACTTTGAATCTTGGGTCCATATTCCGCAGGCTTTTTTATCGCTGAAAGTGCACGGGAAAAAAAGAGAGAAGCGTCAGGTCAATGTCTCAAACTCTTTATGTATTCAAATCGAGGGGGAAAACCGCTGAGGGCATCGCGGTGTACGGCGTTGCGGCATCACTGGGCATTTAGGCCCTGCTGAGGCATTCTAAGGATAAAATAAGATAAAGCAATGCCCACGGGGCATTAGTGGACATTGGCGTACGAGATTTTGGTCAGCGGTTTCCTCCTCGATTAGGTCCACGCGCACAATCAACGATTTTATTTCCATTGCACTGATCTTGTTGATACAATATCTCTTTTTTCCGTGTATAATTGTTACTTGAAGAATACACATAATTATTTTTACAATAAAATCAGTTTAATCATAACCCGCGATTTGAAAATATATTAGTTTCTATCCAATATCGGTTCCTTTCCATTCAAGCAAATTATTCTCAAGTAACAAGCGTACATTTTTCTCGATTGAATTACTTAAAATTGCTTCGTTCAGTTGTTCTTCCTTTAACGCAATATAATCTCATTTCAAGCTGTTAAAACTAAACGTATTTTCAAAAGAATATTTTTTTTGTTCCATGTGCCACTAAAATTGGTTTTGAAAGATTTTTATTGGCCGAAAGGATCCTTCACGGGCACTTTCGTCGATAAAAGAGGATGCAAAATATGGGCCTCGCAGTTTGGCAAATAAAAACGTAGATTTTCAGTTTTGAACGAATACAATTTTTACGAAAAAATCCAAGTCGTTCTTTCACCAAACTCCTCGACTAGCTCTTGCAGCGCGGGAACGTAACAACAACTACGTTTACTCGTCACTATTAATCTGCAGTTATACAATAACTTCCTAGAACGGTCGTTTGCGCGAAGACACGTTGCTCTACCACCGTTCAGCGACAGCTTAAAGTCTGGATATCGTCGAAGGAATACGGCAGATATACTTTTCATAATTTTATCTCAAGTCGGCGGTGTCGTAACGACTCGCTTAGTGTTTACACAGCTCTTTAAAACCAGATTTACAAGTCTGCCTCTCTTCGCCAACGGGTGCGGAGTAATAACAGCTGGTGTTATAAAACCGGATTTAATGAGCGTGTACATGTCATTTTATATCATTATTACCGACATTGTTTCGTGTCAGTTGTAACTACTGATATTATTAAATCCGATTAACGGTGACGTGTAAACACAGCCACTGCTGAAAGTGCACACTTATCTTTAGGAGTAATTTTACTCAATTTATGCCATCAAGAGATATTGCAGTAACGGTGTGCACGACTTCTACATAATCCAGGCATGGCCGACCTGCGGCCCTCGTGGCAGTTTTATCTGCTCCGCGACATTTGAAAAATAAACGAAGAGAAAGAAAATGAGAAAACTAGTTTTGTTATATTTAACATTAAAAACAGTCTTGGCGTTTCTTCGCACGGGCAATTTGAACAATTTTATGGCCCGGTTTCGCTAAACGTCGCCGAACTTTAATGTTACTTTAATTCGCGTTTGTCTCTTTCTAAAGTAACCGTCGGAAAGAGACAAAGAACGAATTAAACTAAGGTCAAAGCGACGTTGGTGAAACCGGGCCTGAGGCTGCTTCGGCCCGCGGAAAGTTTGAGAAGCGTGGCCCGCGAATCGGAGCAGGTTGGCCGTGCCTGGCGCAATCGCATAGCGAGTAAGTAACACCCAGTCTCTTCTCCCCAGGTTGCCCCCTGCTCTTGATACTTGGAGAGATCTTTCTGTGAACAAGGAGAATGATGTAATCGCAGCAAAATAATAGCCGAACAGCAATGTACAATGAACTACAGTGGAAATATGCCAGATTGGCATCAGTATAATCCCCCGCAGTCAGGAATAAACGGCGTGACATCGACCGCTCAAAATGTCAATTCGGGACACTTGTCGTTCATCTCCAGTATTAGTCCGACCTGCCCGACGCAGCTCAACGGCCTGAATCTCAGCTCGGACGGACTTGAGAAGCACCAGAACGACCCCAATTTCAATCCGAGGCACTTTCAGCCGGCACATCTGCCGAGCAACATCTCGCACGGCCACAATGCCGCCGACGGCAATCCTCTGGCGTCGATGGTGCAGATGCAGAACTGCATCGGCCACTACGGGCCTTCGAATACGAGAAATCCCATGGTGGACAATCTGAACGGGCCTATGGACCCGCGGAATGCCGCGATAGGCGGCATAAACGAGGAGCTAGGCTACAGAAACAATCAGGTGCCTTTGAACGGGCCTATCTCTCATCTGAATGGACCAAATGTGATGAACATGAACGCGCCGCACGCGTCGCACGCGTCGCACGCGCCGCACGCGCCGATAGGACCGCGAAACGCCAACGTCAATTCGCATGCCGCCGGCAGGTCGGGCCCACCGCCGTCCTTCGTTCCCTGCAAGGGGCTCTGCTGCAATCCGGATCCCAACATAAACTATCCGCAGTGGGAGAAGTACTGCTCTTACCAGAACAACGCGGCCTACAGGGAGAACGTGCGCTCGTCCGCCGGATACCAGGCGGACGCCCGGCGATTCGGAGGCGAGTACAATTTCAGGAAGGACAATTTCGATGCTGGCAAGGAGATGCTGTCGCCTATGGTGCCACCGCCTAACGGGCCCAATGCCGATCACCGGCGGAACTTTTCCGACTTCAAGTATCGCAAGGACCGCCTGCTCTCCCGCAGCTACCCGCCATCCTCGGGCATGGTGCAGAACTACCCCGTGCAGAGCTACAATTACGCGGGAGAGTACCAGAAGTATCCTTACAACGTGAAGGAGTATTCCAAGATGAGCGGCATGAACGTGCCGAGCCAGGGGATGGTTAAGCATCCGGAGCAGGGCTTCGCGATGCCGCAGCAGAAGTACAACAAGCAAGCGCCGTATCAGACCGGCGGCGCCATGATGCCGACCAGCGTGCCGTCCACGAGCGTGCCGAATCCGAGCATGATGCCATCCGCACCGCAGAACACTTACTACAACTCGCAGTACCCGCGGAATCTAACGGCGGACGCGGCGCACGACTGCCAGGAGGTCGCCGACAACGCGTCCATGGTCAACAGAATGCAGACGAATGCCGCGACCATGCACGCGCCCTCCCCGCGCTCCTACCAGATGGTTCAGCAGAAGTTAGCGATGAAGAGATTCACGCTGGAGAATCATCTCCGGGAGCTGGCGAGGATACCCGGCTACCAGGTTCCTGGTACGTTCCCACATTCCCAGTACAAGGAGTGCGTCCAAAAGTACAGAGAAATACTGAAGGCACAGCAGCCCGTCACGTATCAGGGGCAGTTGCAGCAGACCCCGTGTGTCGCCGCGTCAACCGTCAATACCTCCGCCATTCCGCCGATAAATCTGCAATTCGATCAGAATGGCGTTTTAATCAATTCCAACTACATGCCCGAGGCCTTTCCCAGGGTGCAACAGCCGGTGAACACGCAGGCGCCGATCAACCACAGCCCGGTGGACAAGCAGGGCAAGCAGGACGTCGTTAGCGTCCCCGAGATGGCGAGTCGCAGCGTTCACAAGCCGGAGCAATTGGTTTCTCAGCAGCACGACGGTCACCCGAGCGCTCTGTGCGCGGAAAGCATGCAGAAGCAGGACCAGTATCCCGCGCAGAAGGGTCACGATCAGAATCAATTCCAAGTACAAAAGGCAGGCGGGAGCTTCGACAATTTGGCTGGGAGCGCGAGCGACGCGGTTATACAGCAGAAGATGTCTAAAGAGTTCGCCAACAAGCCGGAACTCGACGTGCGGCAGTTTCTCGCCAATTGGGACGAGTCGGAGGACGAGGACGGCGCGGGTGCCAGCGTTCTGCCGGGCGCCGTTCTGACCGACTCGACGCCGGTGGTAGTCGTGGGTTACGAGAACGTCGATCTCTCGGCGAAGACGCTGGAGGGTCTGGAGGTCAGCAAACCGGAGGAGATCGCCCCGAGCGTGATAACGTTCGAGAACCAGCAGAAGAGCGTGGTGCCGGCGCAGGACTGCCTGACGATATCGTACTCGGCCGCGGAGAACGTCGAGGTCGCCAAGGACCAGGCGTGCAAGGACATCGCGAAGGAGGCGGTCGTGCCACCGGGCAGCCACATCATACAGTGCATAAGCAACGGACCTGACGAGGTGCCAACGATACACATAGTCGACAATTTGGAGATCGGTAGTATCTTGCAGGTGACGAACGGTCAGGTCGCCGAGACTCTGGAGACGCAAGACGCGGTGCCGTTCTTCCAAGAGGGAACGGAGGTCGAGGTGGCGGCGATAACTCTCGAGGCTGACAAGTTCAAGAAGACCGACGCCGCCGGCTCGGCCGAGCCGGTCGCGGCCAAGTACAACGCCGAGCTTGAAAACCTGAGCAAGGAGGCGTACGTCGAGGGTGCCTCCCCGCCGAAAACGGCGGAGAGTACGTCGCAAGCGTCGCGAATAGGTGACCAGGAGATCGCCGTCTTGCCCGCAACCGCGAAGGACTCCGCCCGGGACGCGAACCTGAAGAAGCAGAGCAGTTTCGCGAGCGAGGAGTCTCACAATCCGGACGACATAAGCCTGCCGGACCTCCCTACGTCCGAGTGCACGCCGATCTCCACCACGCTGAACACGCCGATCCACTCTGACAACGAGGAGTCGTCGGAGCGCGTCGAGGATCTCACGATATCGACAAATCCGATTGAGATTATGCAGAACAGCCCCGTGATCAGCTTCACGCAATCGCCGACCAAGGGGGAGCCCTACGACCACCTGAACAGCGAGGGGACCGTCAGGAATAAACCGGCCGATTCGTTGGACGGTCGATACCAGGCCGAGAGTCGCTTCAAAAACAACGGCGGCGATAACAACATGCTCGGTCACGATGCTATTCTTAATACATTTGAATTTTCCGCGAATGCTGATAAGAACGAGCCTACGACGTCCACGAAAAGCGGTAAAGAGCGTGCGAATTTAAATGGGATTTCCGCTCCGGCAAACAACGGCGAAAAACCTTTCGCGCACGACAACAAAGCGGAAACTGTGGAGGCCACCAGTATGCGCATGACCCTGACCTCCGGCGAGTATGAATTAAAGATCGTGTCGATGGGAGCACAGAATAAATCGCAGGTTTATAAAAATTTAACGAGCGAGCGCGGCACTAATGAATCTCAAGCGGCGACTCCGGATGCTCAGAAAATATCGCAGACAGAAACGCGCGCGAAAGTCGCGCTGTGGTACAGCGACTCGACGAAGGATAACGCGGCGCAGGGTGCCGATCCCGACCCTGTCGAATTCGCCGGCGACCAGGTTGACGTTAACTATTCCGGAAAGAGGCGTGTATCGACTGATATGACCCGTCAAGCAGCAATGAGTACGGCAGGTTTGTCGCCGACGAACAACACCGCTCCGAGGAGTTCCAGGACGGAAGACGGCTGCGCGACGCAGGTTGTTAATTCGCCCACGTCGAAACATCCGGGAGGCGATAAGTTGCGGAAACCCGAGACACCGTACGCGAAAGAGAACTTTCCCTCGGAGAGGAGCGCCAGCGGCGATAGATCAGCGAGAGTCGACGCGAAGGACTCGAAGGGCTCTTGGTACGCGAAGCTCGCGGATCGCAGGAAATCGATCTCGAGCGATCAGCCGGTTTCTCACAAGAAGAGATGTCTGTCGGAAAACGTGACTGAGAGATGCGGCGAGACCATCGTACATCACAACAAACATACTCAGGAGGCGGCGGCGCGCAAGGATAAATCCTGTACTGTCGAGAATCCCAAAGGATCCGACAGCGGCTCGCATAATAAACCGAGAGTGATCGAGAACATTAGCATCGTCGACAGCGAGGAAAGGATGCGGCTTCTAAAAAAGTACAGAAGAATAAAGTATAACTCACTTAGAGAGATTCACGACAAGGGCAAGGATACGCAGGAGGCCTTGGATTATGTCGCGACTAAGAAGAGTCATCGTTCGTCGAATCCCGACGAGCGGTCCGCGTCGCAGTCACCGTGCGACAGCCAGAAGGACGTGGCGAGGCTCAAGTCGTCCGAGGAACAGGAGGGAAAGCACGCGAACATCTTGAAGACGTTTGTAACTAAGAATATGAACCCCGACTTCGCCATTCAAGTTACGAACGTCAATCTGAAGCTCAAGGATGACGACCATCAGAAAGGACAGCATTTGAGAGAAGAGGCCAAGAGCAGCGGCTCTCTCGACGCGATCAAGATTGAGATCAACGTGTCGTGCACGGAACGGAACACAACGGAGAAATTGCTGCATGAGAACATCAAGAACGCCGTCGCCGAGACGATCGGCCACTTGACCAACTCGATCTCGAACGGAGCCCGATCGAATTCGACGAGTCTGACGGAAATTCAATGCGACAAGGCGGACCGTCGGGATTACGAGAAGCGCGCTTCCGAAACGGAAGCGTTTGCATATAACGAAGCTCACGAGGATCACAGCGACGCAGAAATGAAGCTCAAATCGACGTGCAAGGAAGACGCGAACGGCGAGTCGCTTGTTTCGAAGAAGAGGCGTGGTTCGTTGTCGGAGCAGGAACAACTGAACGACGAAGGTAACGGCACGCTTTCAAATACCCGCGCGGAACCGTCCGGTTGCGATGTGAACTTGCGAGACGACGCTTTTTCGAGTAACGTCAACACCGAATCCGAGCCGGCATCGAGCGCCCTGAAAGCTTCAAGATCGGAGCACGCATCGGTCAGAAGGAGAAGCGTGCAGCAAGAGGCAGAGAGGAAGGTCGCTGCAACCAGCTTCTGCAGCGAAGAGCCGAAAGACTCTACGGATAACTCGCCGTACCAAGGATCGAGGAGCGTCAACGTACAGAAGAAAGAGCATCAGGAAACGGCCGTCGCCTCTTCGTGCAGGAGCGCGAGAAGTTTCCAAGACGATCCTACGTCCAGATTAAACGCGGTTCCGTCCACTTCCTCGGGTACGGTGGAGCCCAGCTTGGAAGACACCAATTACGATAATCCCGTGCATTTTGATTACAATCACTTCGACGTGGCACCGAACGAGAGCCCGGATGCCGGCGACAGGCGCGCAGACCGATGGAAGAGACCGAAGAGAGACGACGGTAGATTCGGCAACTTCGACCTGTACGGGAGCACCAGCGGCTACGTGAACCCGACCTTCTTTAGCGCAAACAAGCTGGAGAACCTAAATACAGTTCCTGTGTACACCACGAAAGACGGAAAGATAACTTACAGCCCCAATCCGCGATTCACGTATCGCGAGTTAATTATGGAGGCTCGCGCGAAAGATAGCCACTCCCGCGAACAGTATTTCGTGAGATCGCCGTCGTACGATTATCACAATTGTTCCAAGTTACGGAAGACAATCAAAAGAATTCGCGACGCTGGTAGGAAAAGGGAGATCGACCTGGCCGACGCGAAGTCTGCGGCAAAACACGTTGACTATTTGCCGAATAAGAATGCCGCTCACAAAAGCGTCAACTGCGTGAAAGCTCGAGGTGCATCGCATTTGGAATTCTTCAACGACGACGCGGACAAGCTGTACGCGACTAAGAGCGCTCAGGAGAGCAAGGAGGGTGGCAAGAAGAACATCGTGGATCTGGACTTCATCGAGAAGCAGTACAATCTGGACACCGAGCCCGCGCCCGGTATTAAACATTGCAAGACGAGAGTATTCGCGGACAATCTCGAGTACGAGAAGGAGTACGGCGAGAGCTCTGTGTTCAGTTCAAATTTATTTCTGGAACCGAGGGCCGCGTGTTGGGAAGAGACGATGGAGTCAATTAAATCGTATTCCTCCCACATCGATAGGAGGAACACCGGTAACGTTAAGGAATTGAATTTTAGCGAGATATTTGTCGCGCAGAAACGACTGGATCCCTTTCCATTTCTGCCTGTAGAGCGAGACCCTTGTGACAATGTCGATCTTAAAGCGAATTGTGACGTAACGAATGAGCCAACATTGCATCACGCAACATGCAGTTACATCGACGATCTGCAGTCAATGCGGGATGACGAGTCGCAGCGTGAACAGTCGGACGCTGTTTTGCGCAATGAGCGGGAAATTGGATGCAATAATCAGAGCGATGCGTTAGCAGATGTTACTGATAAGCCAGTAAGTGCACTTGAGCCATCGCCGAGTATGCAAAGCGATGAGCGCACGGAAAAGCAAGAATCTCGGTTTGACGGAGACGAATCTAGCGCGATTAAGCTCGCTGAGAGGGCACGATCGTGTTCTCCTAAAGTAGCGGATGAGAAAATTCACGATCCGGAAGGAGACCGGTGTTCTGCGAGTTACGTTGACGACAAGGATGCTTCAACGGAACATTTAGTGGAAGAGGATTTGCGCCCTCGTTGCGCTGTCTCGCCGAAGGACGATAAATCCGATGCTGAGGTCGCAAATACGAAAGAGAACTCCGAGGAAAATTCCACCAAAGTCGCAAGTCCATCTAAATTAAACGACGAGCCCACGGAGACGCTTGACGAATCAAAAATTATAGAAACTTTAAAAGAATCTGCGCTTACCTCGAATGAACGAGATGACAAAATTGATTCGGCGAAACACGTAATCGATGATTCAAACTCTGCCGTGAACCGGGAAACAGTATGCCAGCAACAAGCCTTATCAGACTCGATCGATCACGAAGATAAAAAAGAAACTGCGCCTGCAACAGAAGCGAGTGTTTCAGCCGAGACTAGCTCAAAGTTCGTCACGAAGGTGGATTCATCTTCCATTACGCAGGATGGCGTAGCTAACAAGTCGGTCTGTCATTTCGACCAAACGGATGAACAAGACACGCGTGACAGAGGAGATTCTGCGTTAAAAAAGGACGAACCGGTTGCCTCGGAAAATCCAGCTGACGTCGCATTCGTGGAAGAAACACTTGACCAAGGAGGCAGCGAGCAGCGAGCGGCAAGGCCGGAAGACGATGGACAAAAAGCTGAAGTCTCGTTGAAGGATCGAGGAAACGATGTAGTGGACGCTTCTTGTCCTATGGCAATTCCTCCGCCAGTCGTCGCGTTGAATCTACGAACGGACGAGACTGTGTGCGATTTGTTCGCGTGTGAGAGGCGCGAACAGAATATATCGGAGTTCACCGTTATCAAGAGCAACATTAAAGGTGACAAGAAGCAGTGCCAGGAGTCCGGGACGACCGAAGATCCCAAGGATTGCGGTAGCATAATCGATTCCAAATTACTATGCATGGACTCTTCCGATTGCGGGATCTATGTGGAGGACAGGTGCGCGTTGGCGCAGATATCCGAGCACGATTTCACGGAGGACGACAGCATGGTGCCGATGGTGTGGGAGACGAGCCAGATCCAGGAGGACGCTGTCAATCGTCTGTGCAGCATCGACGAGTCGTCCATCAATTTTACGAGCGCGGTAAATTCGCTCCAGGATAATTCGCTCCTAGACCATCTGTCCCTCTCGAGGATGTCGACTCCCAAAGAGCCCCGAGACGCGGAGGTGATCACTGAAATTGAAGCCAAAGCGATCGACGAGACGGTGCCGGCGGTCGAGTCGGCGGCAACGATCGAGGAATCCAAAGCGACGCCGAACAGCGACGTAAACAAAGAGCAGAATGAAATTTCTTCCAGCAGCTACGAGAAGATAGCATACTTGAGCGCGATAGACTGCAACGCCAACACAAAGATGGTCCCTAAACTCGTCATCAAGAAAAGCGAGACTAGCTCAAAGTTCGTCACGAAGGTGGGTTCCTCTTCCATTACGCAGGATGGTGCAGCTAGCAAGTCGGTCTGTCAGCCGAAGATACCAAAGATGATCATCAGGAACGCGAGGTCTCGCCCGGGGACTCCGTCTATCGAGGCAGTTCGCGAAGAAACTTCTGCTCAAGCGAATATCCTGGATCGAACTACGCTCACGAGCGAGGACTTGTGCGAGAGCAACTCCGAAAGTCTTTCTCTGCAGGAGTTCAGCAGGAATAAGATTCCCAAGATGAAAATTAAATTAGACGAGAAGCATTCCAGTAAGATAGTGCGAGCCGATGACGACGCGGAGGTTTGCGTTAAACGCAAAAGCGTTAAGAAAACTGTACCAAAGGTGAAGATAAAGAGCACCTCGAGATCCGATCTCGCGGATAATTCGGTAAACGGCATGACTTCCCAGGAGTCGAGAGATTCGGGGAAGTACGAGGAAAAGATACCTATACTGAAACTGAGGAAACAGGAAAGGAACAGGTCGTCGTCTCCAGAAGTGACGCGGAAGAGACAGAGCTCGAGCCATTCGGAATTGCCGGTCAAGAAGTACAAGAGATCGGGACGCGATGAGGTGGAACACTGTACGAGGCGCAGCAACTCCTCCGATTCGGCGCGAACGAACGCGCTGGAATGCGAAACGAAGAAGAATCCCTCGGTACGCATCTCCGAGAAGATTCCCAAGGTGATCATCAAGCGGACGTCAGCCAGCGCGGAATTCAAATGTGAGCTGAGCAAGGGCTGCGAGAGCGTAATCGCCAAGAGCGCCAAGTGGCAACCGGAGGTCAAGCTGGAAAGGTACCGCATCCTGGATAGCATGGTGAAGGATCTGAAGTTAACTCTGTCTCCCGTTACGTTACGAGCTATCGACAGGATATCTGCGAGTCGCAAGGATGGCTATTGTCGAGTGCAGCAAGGTGACCATAAACTGTCCAGGTCGAATTCGACGTCCGATCTGCTTCCGGCCAGGTTCAAGCAGAGGCGAATGTCGGATTACGACTGTAGGAAAGTGAGTGACGCGTCGAGGGTCGATTTAAATTTTGCGCCATCCCCAGATACGGATTCTAAGGACACCAAGACGTGCACCACGCCGAAGAAGAATGCGTCGTTCAAAGGTCACAAGTCAATTGACGACAAGGACAATAAACGTAGACCGAGATCTCGTAACAATAATTCACGATCCGAGACGGACGTTACGTCGTGCGATAAAGAAATCAATCAGTCGTCTGAAAAAGCTGACCCGCAGAAAGCTATCTCTCAATGCGACAAGACTGATAGTTTTGATATCAATTGCGAACAAGCGATAAAAGCAGACGAGGATGCGATTTCAAACACGCATGGCCAGAAGAATACTCTCAAACACCCGAGCAGCTCAAACTTCAAGCTTGCGTTAAAGGAATTGAAGGCATCGTCGAAGGTAGAGACCTGTCTCGCCAAGTTGCCCGGTCCGAGCGAGACGTCGCCCGAAGAGGACAATTTACAAACTGACAAGGAGCGGAGGGAGGAGCTAGACGGCGACTCTTTCTTGAACAAGAGCCACGGTAAAGTCGCGATAAAGAAGGAACGTCTGAGCTTCAGCGATATGGACAACGATTGCACTCTGCAGGATGACATCGACTTGCTTAAGGACGACTCCGCGAGTATGTTGGATAATTTCGAGATAGATAACAGCACCGTCATTAAGGTCGAGTCTTCGGACGAGAGCCAGTCGACCATAGAGATCCTACCTGCTTCACCAGATGTTAACCACAGCGAGCTGGAGAGGCACATGGTCGAGGATGGCGACACCGAGCAGCTGTACACGGCGGATGCGATTCCGACCCAGTTCGAGCTGGAGTTAGAGATCACGGACAACAGCAACACGGATCTTCTGGATGTATCTATGCCGAAACTCGATCCTGTCACCTATTACAATCCACATCACGCATCCGAAGAGTCAAGCGCAAAGTTGGGATGTTACAATAAATCCGAGGCTTCCTCTCGCGATAGGAATTCGCTTGGCTTGGACAAACGTATCTTGGAGATCGATATTAGCGGCGACGGTAGACCCGCATTGGATAGCAGCTCGGTTGGCTCCGTTAGAGAGGTCCCCTCGAGGGTTCCGTGTTGCAAGGCAGCGGATTTCGCCGCGACCAGGGAAAATTTCTGCTGCAACGAGTCTCTGATAAAGGAGGTCTTGGCGGCCAAGGAGACCTTGAAGAAGTGCCTTTCGAAGTCCAGATACGACGTACAGAGCAGCGCGATCGGTAGCGCGAGGTCTAAGACAGCCGCGGAGAAGAAGCAGGGCTTGAGCTTAATTATCAACAGCCTCTCGGAGGTGCCCTCGAGTGAGGTCTCTCAAGACCGTCATAGTAATGTCGCGCCTCAGAGGGGCTCTACACCTGTAGCGAATAAACACAAGACTGAGAATATATCTAATGATGAGAAGTCTGATAAGAAACATTCCAAACAAAGCAAAAGTTCCTTCGTGAAGAAGAAACCGAGATCACCTGAGAAAAACGAAGCAGATTCCAGGGAGACGGCAAGGGACACGCTCGGATGCAATACAATATCCTTGAGGACGTTTAAACAGCTCGGCCAGGTTGCGTCGAACGAGAGCCCAGCTTGTACCGTGCACTTGAATGAGAAACGGAAGAATCTAACGGGCCGAAGCGACGACGTTCCCCATCAAGATCCGCAGCGGAAAGAGAAGACTCGGATGTCGACCTACAAAATTCCCAAGATATCGAGATTCGCCGAGCAGGGAAATAAGACGAGCGACACGAAGGAAATGAAGCCCAAGGAGGACAACATGCCGATATTAGAGCCCGAAGTTAACGTAAATTGCGATACGAATCCAGACAGAGAGACATCCAGGTCGCCGCCGGTCATTACGATTCAGGACAACGAAGATCTCGACATAGCGGAGTCCAAGTTGGTGGATGACGATGTTATAACGCCGAGTATTAAAGTTGAGAGCAATACAAAAAACGTTCATAAGAAGAGCGAGATGTCCATCGTCGATCTCATAACTCAATTAGCTTATCACGAAAAGGTGTGAGAAAAATTATTTAAATTATTGCATGCAACAGGGTACCTGTTCTTTAAGACACTCTCTCTCCGTCGACTCGAGAGATATCCTTTGCTTATCCCGTTTTCTTTTGCAGGCGACGATAAAACACAGACGGTACTGCAACCTGTGCGAAAGGTGGTTCCCTACAACGTCGCGGCATCGACGGCACTTGGCTGGATACCAACACCGTCACATGGAATTGACACAACGTAGAAGCATTCATGCATTATTCACGCTCTTCACAGGCAAACTCTGCCCCAGGCTAGTACCGACGAATGTCGCTCGAAGTGATTGCTCCGTAGGTGAATTAACGCCATTACAAATTGCGGTACAGGTACGTCGCATTCTTTTTATCGAATTTGCCCGCATGCGATTCTTACACGTACTTTCGTTATTATTCAATATTAATATTGCTGGCTATTTTCAGTGCGTAATGGTACATTAATTATGCATTGAATAAATCAACATTTAATACGTACAGTAAATGATACATGTTATTTTCTTCCTCAGGATGTCACAAGGTGTTTCGACCGCACACAACAAAGCCCTAAGAAAGAAAACGACGTTGATAAATAATCTCGAGTAAGTTATTTGGATTACAAGCATATAATTACTGTGATTATAATAACGGCTTACAGTGCAAACTTCTACAAATGTTATCCGTGATGATAATGAAAGATGATACGAATATTTTATATCGCGGCTGGATCACAAAACGATCCAGCTGTCGTTGTTAATGGCGTCAGCATCGAAATTTTAACTGCTAAATAACGAACGCTTTAAAAGGTTTGCTGATTTTAGCTAAGTCAACCGATGTGGATCATCATTAACAAAGAGTTACCCGAGGTACACTTCTAGCTCGCAATTAGATGTTTTAGCCAAAGATTTTAACGAAACTATATAATACACGTTCGATTGTTTACACTTTTCAAAAGAGACTCTGGTCTTTTATTTGTACAAAGTTTTACGAGTGATGTTCAATCGCTGAATGTGCTCACACTGCGAATTTTTATTTATGAAGAGACTTATATGTATAAAACACGTAGGTAGATATATACATACACGCGTACATATGGATATAAACATATATTTGTCATTCCAGTTTGCAAAAATATGTACACTGGCGACATTATGTTAGTGAGGGATGTATACGGTTAAAAAAATTATATAAAAAAAGTACACATATGGTACAATTACGTCTCTGATAATAGGGACAATGTGCAAGGAGAAAAATGAAACATTCCTATACATATATATATACATATATCTATATATATGACAGAATCTGAGCTATGGGATATTTAAATGATTTATCTTGCATAATGAAAAGTTTTACTTGATAACGTTGTTTGCGATTTCTGCATATCGATTTGTCGATATATTCTCACTGTGTGTGTCGGTGTTAAAAACGCACTCGAAGTGGCTAAATATTTTACTTTGTTGTTAAAAAATTATCATTGTTAAAATTATCTTCGTCATATTTTACTTGAGTGTTATTTTATTTGTATATTTTATCCACGTTATTTTAAAGGTAATGATATTAAATCAAGTAAATTGTGAAACACGAAGACCAAAAATATACATATTAGTATATTTGTCTTTTTGTATAAAGAAAAACTGTCTATTATGACAACATTGTCATTGCTTTATTTATTAAAATATTCCAGGTTACGCGGAGTAGCCAATGTCTCATAGCTCATATTATAGTTAATAATACAAAAGCTGTGGTAAGCGTCAGAAAAGATTTTGGAGTGGATCTGCATCCAGCGTTATTAGATATTGATGAGTACCTATATTGCCATAACACAGAAGATCTATTGAAGCAAAACTCGTGATATTAATATTAGAAGAATTTAAAGTGAGCAAGAGTTAAGGCCAATCTCAATCTACGCGACATAATTTCTTCGTGCAAACGGGCTAAATTAAACATACACGTTATATCTCATAATGTGCGCGGTGTTCAAGTACTGGATAGTGATGCTCCGCATATGTATCAACCCCAAAGTCTCTGTTAACACAGGTTCTATATGTTACAGTGATAGTTTCATCCTCCCTTTTCACCTGTTTCGCACTTGAGTTTTATGCTGTTTAAAGTACATTTAAAGCGTGTTTACTTGTAAGGATATCAATTGGAGTAAACGACGTGCAAGTCGAGAAGCTTTGCATTGTACATTTTAATTGAAGTGTGAAAAAGTGTGTAAAGGGTGAAACAATATTCCTTAAAGCGCTAGTTCCTGGCTTTAGACGGAGTTTTAATAATATTACTTGTTAAGAGGCTACGATGAAATGTTACATTAATACAGGGTCGATCGATCATATTCGGCGATCGTTTAACACTATTTCCTAATTTATCTTACGGGGTTTAACACAGAGTGAAAGCATTTTCATCAATTCTAGTTCTGGACCAATTTAACTAAATACAATAGTTAGGTGTGTACGTTTATGAATTGTTATTAAAGTTAGAGACTTTGTTTTCTTTATTTGTTCCAAATGTTTTTAGATTTTATTCGCACGAGTGCCTTAAGATACACCTAACAGTATTCGTTGTATCGTGTTATATATATTATATAAAAAAATATATATATAAAGATCTATACATATATAATAAGTAAATCTATATATTTGTAGATTCTTGATCTACGGAGCATGTTTATACACGTGTACATAATTTTGCCTTAGTTATTGGAGCATATACGCGCTGTCAACTATATAATTTTTAAATATATAGAGATTGAGATAAAATATTTTACGAGTCGCTAATCTGATTGAAAAGTCAGAATTTTTTACAGGGAACGTACAAAATGTGCTAAAGTTCATTGTTGCTCGTGAAACAAGATACATATTATCGCCACGCCGCGCAACACATGTTCAAAATGAAAATCTTTAACGTTGTCATACTGCCTGATATAAAAGTTGATAATTTTTTTTTGCATAATCAGTACAACAATTTAAATGCCACATTAGTTGTTTTATTGCACTGATGAAAACGCATGATTACCACAAGTATAATAATTATACTGTTACAGTGATACACAGAACGAAACATACAAAAAGAATTATATAATATAAATTATTATAATAATTAGCGACAAGATATTGTTAATTTTTGGTAAATCTGCAGACATAATGAAAAATACAAAAATTCATATCGAAAATGTTCATATAAAATGTGTGTGCAATATGCATTTCAAATGATATCAAGTGAATCTAAAAAAGTACACTATTAGAATAATATTACGAAAGTATATAAAAAAAGCGTCCTATAGAGATACAATAATTATTAAAATATGAAATTTGATATAATGAATCGTTACGTGAACATCTTTGACAATTAATTCTCACATGTTGTTATTATTTGTTATACGAACCTCATAATCAGTTTTGGATGTAATCAGTTTTCGAATATCTTCGTAGTACAAACATCAAATATGATAAAACGTATATTAATGTTACTACATTGCAGTAATCAAATCTATAAATATTTTTAGATTTAAAGAAACAGAATAAATATTTTATAAAGTGTTAATTACTCACAATAATATATATATACATATATATATAGATATTATATGAATACATACAATAATATATACAAGTTCTGCTGCGTTATGATTGAACTAAATCATAAAACTGCTGCTGTGTTTAGTTTGTATATTATTAATTATATTGGAAGATATATATGTACAAAAGTTACCGTGTGCTCTTGTAACTAAGGCTCGTTGTGTACGTATATCATTGTTGTGTGCTCGATGTGCCTAAAATTTTAAAATGTTATATGCATCACAAGTCTACAAAAAGTATACATATATATATTATATACACATACATGTGAGCGTGAGTGTGTGTGTATGTGTGTGTATATATAATGGAATTAATGTACATGGAATATTTTATGAATCTATACATCACTTGTACATTGCGTAAGAAAAGTTCCTCGAACTATGTACAGATATCGATATTGTACATTAAATCCGTACATTCATACGATGAAGCATGTATTCCGTTTAAGGGAAATTGACAAATTGAAGAACTCTTTCAAATGCCTCATTCTCGTTAAGTTTTTCGTATCGTTTTGTGCCCCAGCGTTTACGGAGGGAGAAGAGCAACTATAATAATGCGATCGTACATGGGCATTACTGATCGTCTGCGGAATTTCCAATCTGTGCATAATTATTACACGGCGTTTTAAATAGTGAGAATAAATTCCTGTATGAACTTAACAAGTGAGAAATGTTAATTGTTCACTCGAAGATCGACTAAATTTGCCGCGCATGGCTGAGAATCATCGAATTTTAAACGTTTGAAGAATTGATTGACGAATACAAGCAGTAGATCGGATTTCTGACTTCCACTAATGTAAATCTGTATAAGCTCATGCAGGAGTGTGTTTCCGAAATCTTCGTTTCTAGCTAATTTGTGTGATATATCTTAATATATTGATAGTACAGATCGCGAATTATTTGTACTGGATTATTTACCGAGACGTATGTATCCGTTTGTTACATATTTATTGTCTTGCATTATTTATAAATGTGTGTATAGCGCTCGAATGAATTAGCTTTCTCTGAGATACAGGTTTGTTCTCAAGGCAAAAGTTGAAATTTATATATATGTATGTAGATTTCGCTAAGAAATCGTACACGCAGAGAGTCAAAAAATGATATGTAAATATTAAATAGCTTCTCTTTCGTCTCGCGTCGTAAACGTTTTGCGTGTTTTGTGCATACAGTTTTTCTTTTTAATTTACTCTGGCAATTTTTCAAGAGTAAAAACGGCATTTGTTTCTAATATGACAACCGACCAAGGTCTATATGTGTTCTTGACAAACGTGTGTGTGCCTTGAACATTAATTCTTCAATCTCCTTGTGCAAAATATAGTTCTTTATGCGAGTCTGATGAAATTTTAGTCAATAAAAAGCGTAGTTATCGTGTATTGCATTTCTCGTGTGTGACATGACTACTAATGTTATCCGATATCAAAAGCTAATTCACACGTTGGGAAAGGATTTATATCACGCATCGAATCCACGTAGCGTATATTATTGTAATTCTGAGGTTCTGGGATAATATTATTAAGTGGCGTGAAAGTGATGTTTTTCGATTAATATCGCGATTTCCGATGCGTAAAATTATTCTTGCGACTTAGTACGTGCAATATATCGCTTTGCGAGAACTCCCTTTTTACAATTTAATTGGTCAAACGACGCACGACATTGTAAGACTTGACAGAAAAGTCACCATTCCTGCCTGAGGATATCAACGGAATTGCAATTGCGAGAATAAACGAATGCGCAATCATTCCACGAATTACAGTAGCGAAATCTGTAAACAATAGGGATACAATGAGTTTTACGATATGTTAATTTCTGTTATTATATTTACACGTACTTAGGCTATGAGAGTGTATAAAGAGTTCGAGTTATTATAGTCAAAGGAAAATAAAGAGTGAAGTGTATGAAGAAATTTGCGCTCCTTGTTATTCCTGCGTTGAACAAATGCATCAGTCAATTCAGCGAATCTGAAGCCTGGAATAGAAAAAAAGTATCAATAATGCGTACCTAACAGTTCTATTGTATTTTATTTGTATAAAATCTTTTTCCTAGACAATTAGATAAGAGGTGAATAAAAAATTAAGTGTTCTTGGATACCTGTGGATTTCTCCAAGAGTCCAAGTCACGTTGGTCGATTCGAAATTGTCAGTGCAAGTAACCGATTCGCTGTAATTCGCAAGATCCAATGGCCGCGTTCAGCAGACACAACTGTTGAGCGAGCGCTCAATGATTTCTTAACATGATTGGCTGGATCTAAAAGTATTAGGCCCGGTTTCACCAACGCGAGTTAATCTAATCGGTCGGTTAACTTGACAGGGTGCCAACATAAAACTTCTTTATTAACCAAGAAAATAGGTTAATAAAGAAGTTTTATGTTGGCACCCTGTCAAGTTAACCGACCGATTAGATTAACTCGCGTTGGTGAAACCGGGCCTTAGCCAATCATACTGAGCGCTCACTCGACAGTTGTGTCTGCTGAACGCGGCCATTGGGTAAACTTGGAACAGACTTAAGGCGCGTTTACACCGCGCCTAGGGGATTTTCGCTCCGTCAATCGCGTGGCGCGAGAGAGGCAGCGTTCATTGGCCCCGCGTCGACCAATTCCCCCGGAGCCACGGCGCCCGACATGACACATGAGAGACGAGCTTGAAATTGTAAATTGCACCCGTGGTGAGCCATGACGTCGGAAAACATCGTGCACGCAGCGAAGAAATGAGATGCGTATCGCGTCGTGACGTCTCGGGTGACTTCGCGCTCGACTCGAACAACACTCGAGGTTAACTCCCGACCGGGAGGACACCCGCGTCTCGCGCATCCAAATGATCACGACACCGCGTTATAACCTACGCCGTGTATGCGATCCTCACATCAGCTGATGAGTTGGACGTAACTGCGCGCACGACGGCCGGATTTTTTTAAACCCGCTTCGCACCCGCGGCTTCAGGAGGGAGACGTCGCGATGGCAGACCTCGCCTTGGGGGAGCTCAGCGGCGACCAAACCGAGAAAGTACTGCAGTTTCAGGTACGCACGTTTCTCGCCGTTCCTTATCCTAAGGTCACGCGCCTGTCGATATTCGTGACTGACGACACGTAACAATCACCCCCAGGACCTCACCGGCATCGAAGACCTCTCGGTATGCAGGGACGTTTTGCAGAGGCACAACTGGAACCTGGAAGTAGCGGTTCAGGTATGCCGCTGCGTTAACTCGTGTATATCTCGCGATTCTCGGGCGCGGCGTTTCGCAATTCACGATGCATTTCCATGCATCGAACGTTATCGAGACGAATAACTGAATAAATTTACATTTTTTTCCCTCGCACCTCAGCGAGAGGCAACATATCTATTTATCGTCGATGATTTTTTATATCGCCAATCCGACGGGCCTTATGTAAGCGCCACGTGTGCCAGCGTGGTGCTCTGATATTTGCGATTCGCTCAAAGTGCTTGTTGTGTGCAGGAGCAATTGAACCTGTACGAGGGCAGACCATCCATGTATGCGCAGGACTCGCGCGCCCGCCCGCCGCAGGTTGTGGATGACAGTAGTTCCAGAATTTATTTTAGTTACCCAGGAAGCTCCGGTGGCGGCGGCGGTCTCTTATCCTACATTTTTTCCATGTGTTACAATCTAGTGAGCAGTATCCTACAGCTGCTTTTCGCAATATTTAAGAGAAACGTCAGACCTGGTGAGTGTAGAGCGCAAAGATAATAAGCATTCCATTACGTGGCAAGCGAGGGACAAACCACCGAGAGCGTTGTGGTGCACGGATTCGCGGCATTACGCCGGTATTACATTTGTCGTACGACAAAATTTTCAAGCGTGTTTGTTGGCACCAGAATAGAAGTCTTTGAGTCTCTAGAAAACTTTCATTCTGCAACCAATCAATATGCTTGAAAACTTTGTGGTACGACAAATGTAATATTAGCCTATGGGCCCGAGCAGAATGGTTGTCTTGTACTCTTAAGACATAAGACAGTTATTGTGCGTTACCTCAAGACAAAGGCTTAAAACATAAAACTTAAGAGTATAAGACAGCCATTTTGCTCAGATCCTTACTGGGCATTACTAGCTTTTTTTTTAAATAAAATAAGATAAAACAAGATAAAAGAAGACAATAAGATAAAGTAATGCCTACTATGAATTGGTGTATGTGACTTTGGTCAGCGGTTTATCCCTCGGTTGCGAGTAAACTCCTTGCGACTCGACAAAGACATTTACATAGGATATTTGACTGTGTTCGACAAATTTTACTCTTTGCGCTATTTGGATTAAAATCTCGTGAGACCACAGTGACCTACCGGTTGCAAATTGATTGCGATTAATCTCGCTAACTCGACATTTTAATAATTATCCTTTCAATCGCGTGCGTGTAGACGTATACAATTTATATGCACTAATCGAAACGAATTTCCAAGTGTCCTCCGATCCAGTGGAAGATGTAGTCAACTTTATTAGAACTTACGAGGAGCGTTACGGTAACACTCACCCAGTATTTTACCAGGGCTCCTACAGCCAAGCCCTGTCGGACGCGAAACAGGAATTAAGATTTCTGTTGGTATATTTGCATAAGGATGAGACTCAGGAAGTTGACCAATGGTGCAGGCAAGTCTTACGAGTAGCCGTTGCTTTTACATGACAGCGTAGATACAAGGTTCATGATGTGACGAGGAAGGGCTTGTTTACAGAAACATATTGTGTGATCCAGAAGTGATAAGATATATAAACATCCATACTTTGTTCTGGGCATGTAACGTAAAATCCGGAGAGGGTTACAAAGTCGCGGAAGCACTCAAATTGGGATCATACCCCTTCCTAGCGCTGATCGTGCTGAAGGACAATAGAATGACAATAGTCGGTCGGTACGTGAAGCTAATCTATTTACATACATTGAAACAAACGTTTGGTTTATCTTCTCAATAGCTGCAATTCACCGAGCTTGGTACATAAACTTGTTCTTCTGTCCTATAGATTGGAAGGCGCACCATCTTCCGCCGATTTAATGTCGCGACTGCAAACGATCATAGAACGTAATGAAATTAATCTGATCCAAGCACGTCGAGAAAGGTAATTGGGATATTCTGTGAGATTCTAGAATATCTTAGTTTTTTCAACGAGAAAACGGATCTGGAAAGAAATCAGGCACTGATGCAAAATCTGTGTTGTTTAAGAATTTGCTAAGAAATACGAAGATTGAGGAAATAAATGTTATTTATCTCTTTATTGGTATTTTAGAGCAGAACGTAGCGCGGCGCAGTCGCTTCGGCAACAACAGGATCGCGCTTACGAGGAATCGTTACGTGCGGATCAGGAGAAAGATCGTAAAAGAGAAGAGGAAAGAAGAGCGCGCGAGGAGCAAGAGGCCCGAGAGAAGGAAGAGTTGAACGCTCAAGAAATGGAGATTCAACGTATACGCCTCGAGAAGGAACTGACCATTAGTAAAGTGCCTCTCGAGCCAGAACCGTCTAATCCCAACGCGTGTCATCTTCAGATTAAGCTTGGAGAAAGAACGATGAAGAGAAGATTCCTCATGTCTGATACGGTCGAGGTAACTGTATAAACAATCGTAAACATGAATTAGAAGTATTCTCACCTAGTATATGAGAGATTTGCAAAAGGTTTTGTATCAGACATTCAATGAAAGTAGAATTACATGTACTGTTCTTTTTCAGGACGTTTATCACTGGATTTTCAGCCAACCAGATTCACCAGCAAGTTTCGAGATAACAACGAGCTATCCCAGAAGAATCCTCTATCCTTGTCGGGACATCTTGACTCTATCGAATGCCGGTTTAACCCATAGAGAGGTCCTTCACGTTAATGATCTAGACGACTAAGCGCGATCATTTCGATATGACATTCTTCAAGTTTTAGTATCATTCCATGGGAAAAATGATACTGCTATGTGAAAGACACTTGTCAAGAGACACAAGTTCATGCAGCATATTTACACAAAAATGTATACACACACCCACCCACACACACCTACACACATAAACACATACACTTGCGTATATAATATATATATACATATATATATTTGATACATTCTAGTACTTTATGTGAGGTATACTTTATTGGATGAAAACTATGATTACACGAAATATACCAAAAGATAGGAATCAAGAAAAGGGGGAAAAAGGTGTGTCTATGCATGCAGCTTATTTAAATTAACAATCGGTACGTCGACCATCGCATTTACTGAAAAATGCATTTCATATAGAAAAAAAAACAGTAGATAGGAATATACATATATTAAAATTCTTTTGTGTAAGAAAATGATCTCGTAAGAAAAATTGTACAAACTATTTCTTTTATATCTCTTCCGACACCAATTCTAAATTGTGTCAGTATTAAAAGAGCGATGATACGTATAGTACGGATGAATTTCGATGCTTGGATAAATTTCATGCGTCTGGGCACACTCCTGTAAATTTGTCCATTTGTTTTCCTGTGATATACACGGAATTTCTTTAATATAATTCAATGTATGAAGAAGGAACGGAATGTTTTTTTCAATAGGTTTATCATGCAATCAGTTTCTTGTCGATGGCAAAAGTGTTTGTTTGATACTTCCGTGATCCAGGGATAACTAATAATCAAAAGAATAATTAATAAGTTCCATGAATTTCACATATATATAAATTCTGGTAGTACAACTTTTGATTGACGATTTAATTAATCACTTATTGTATCCAATGGCATTTATATATTTTTATTTAAAGTGGAAAAAAATGTAACAGTTATAAGTTTGGTATGTCAGATAAAAAGCATTGAATTTTATCCGTTACCAACCGGAATAGTCATATTTATTTCTAGAATATCAGCAATATCATTTCACCATTTAACGCAATCATTTTCCGTTGTTGCATCCGATAAGTTATCTTTCTTTTTATGCTGCTACAATATACTCGTATATATACATAAAGGATATAATATATTTCAGTTCTGACCAAATATTCCCAGTTGCAAGATTTATTTTTTTGGAATTTTATATAATGTACATTTAACTGAATTATGTACAAACTCATCATTTCGTCATATAATGCAAGTACCCTGACGTATTTACAACAAGTAGGCATAAATATAACAATGTTGAGATATTCCGTACGCCGTTAGCGATGTTTATTAGTATTTGAGTCCTAGACAAGTGTCCGTTATTATTAACGTAGAAAACTGATATTTAGTGATATGACATGATTTTTAAAAGTAATCTAAAATACTCCCAACTGATTAATCAATACAAAGCAATTTGACAAAAATAAGACTCAAAGAGATCGCGCGTTAACGAGGTACGGAATACTATTTATCAGGAAGAAATCGTGCCGGGCACTGACATTTTATTTTGAATGGGTTTTAGATTTTGGCGAGACTTTTGCTCTCTCCTTGGAGCATTGCGCGCGACTATAAGCGCGCAAGGTGTTGTACACTTTGTTGTTCAGCTTGACATCGAAACCACCCGTGTCTCCCGTGTCGATTCCCGGCGGGAATTGTAACACTCGGCAAGCGTTGATCCTGGAAGACATTAGGATGTCGTGCTTCGTAACGATCTGCGAATCGTTTCCCTTTTTGTAACCACAGCGCGGTATCGAGGCGTACTCCTTTTCTATGCTCTGAAAAGGAAAAAAGAACAATGTATCGGTGTTTCTTCTAATGAGCAATGCTTTGTTGATACATTATTGACATAAACAAATCTTTAATCCACGCAGCATCTAATCTGCACATATACAAGACATCTCACGAGTAACATCGAGCTGCACTTACGACAAAACGATCGAAGTCCCTGTTACTGTCGTCCACGTTGGAATCCACGTTATCTTCATCCTTGGCTTCGTATAGGGAGCTCCGGTAATTGCTGAACGAGATGCTCACTGAAATAAGGAGGAATAACTTAAACTGACAACGCAGGGCAAGGAGCCGACGTATTTCAGGTTACCTTTTGAGTCACGATTGAACTTGTCCTCCGTACGCTTCAACATCGAGTCGTACTCGTGATTGAATTGACATTGTAACATGTGTGCTATTACTGCATCGTTGTCAGTGTCAGTTGCATCATAAGTTTCTCCAAACGTCTCGTCCGCCGGATTGGTGTTGTCCTCGTTGAAATATTTCTTCAGCTCCCTGGTGGTAAAAAAGCAACTTCAGAGAGAAGAATTATACATGACCAATGTTCCAATTTCAGGCCTCGGCACCAACTTGAAATGATAAACGTTTCAGACGGTGTTCTTACGACATAACGAAGATCCTGCCTCATGCATACTTTATCAGGCACCGCTAAGCTTTCGGTTGCACACCGTGATATTTAAATTGAGCACAAATCGAATGGAAGACTGAGAATTTTGTCAAATTTACTTACAGGGGAGAGTCCGGTAAAGGCTGCGGTCAAACTGTTGCTTCAACCGTTACAAAGTATTTTTCTTCTTTCTTTCAGAAAAGATAGACGGACAAGAGAAATACTTCGAAGCACTTGTAGCAGTGGCTTGACCGCAATCAAAGACAACTGGACTCAACGCAAGGGGTATATTTACCTCTCCTGCTTAGCGGCCAATTGTTCCGTCGTGATGTCTAGTAGATTGACAGGAGTTTCCAGGGGTTGTATCTTCGCCCACACTTTCGGGGTTGCCATTGCTATAATCGACCGGGACTAACGAGTTGCACGACACCAGGGAGAAGTCGCTCGCGTAGAAGCTGGAGCCGAGACAAACACGAGACGAACGTGAGTTTGATGATACTCCCTCCCCCCCTTCCTCAAAACACCGTTCTTGTTCTTATGCGAGTCGAATAATGTCATACGGAACGTTCCTACCACGACATCCCTCCCCCCCTCGAACGCACTCGCGCGGATAAAACAGCATTGCCTTCCTGTTTCCGGATTTGAATCTCGGCAATAGCGAAATATCGACAATTCGTAAAGGCGGTCAGTCCTGGATAAGCTCCCGTTATTATCGAATATGAAAAGGCCTGCAGATAATTGAAGAAAACATCTTTATTGACAGTCAATAATGTCAGCCAAGATGTATGTACGTGGTACTGTCTAAATTTTCAAGAATTTCTCACAATTTCCAAGAATTGGTATTCCGAGAATTTCAAACTTCAACTCGCAAAAATCGAGAATCCGGAAAACTGGCAAAGTATCAGGAGAATATGACAGCCAAACAGGTAGCACTATTTAAATTTCCAAGAATTTGTCACCATTTCCAAGAATTTCAATGTTCAAATTACGAAAATCAAGAATCGCGAAAACTGAAAAAGTATCAGGAGAACATGATCAGCGAAGAGGTGGCACTATCTGAATTTCCAAGAATTTGAAACTTCAAATCGCAAATCCCGAAAACTGCAAAAAGTATCAGGAGAACATGATCAGCAAAGAGGTGGCACTATTTGAATTTCCAAGAATTTGAAACTTGAAATCGCAAAAACCGAGAATCCCGAAAACAGAAAA